TCTGAAGATCTGCAAAGGCTAAGTCCAATGAAAATGGTTCCAAACAACACCAGAAATGCCAAAACAAGAATGAACAAAGAGATGCCAAGGCATCGTTCCGCGGCTCTATTGGGTTGTAAGAGCCAAAAAGCTGTCAAAATTGCAGGAGATGCCCACAAAACATATCATCATGAGAAGTCCAACTTTGACCAACAGATGATGCGCCGCAACAGGCCAGAATCATTCGTGCCAGCAACAAGGTTTCAAGCTGAGACGTCCCCTAATAAGTTGACAGGCTTTGACTCAAGAGTACAAGGGCAGCATGCTCTTGCAGCACAGTCTCGTTCGCATTCACCACATGCCTCACATCTTTTGTTCATGTAGTGAATTAAATCTAATAGTTATTAAGGTAGTACATATAGTGTGTGATCATAATATTCTCTAGAATCTCTAGTACCATGTATGATTAAATATTTTTTCCTGATCTGCAGTAGTGATTAATTCCAAAAGTTGATCTAGTTGTTTCTTTAATAGGGTTCATAATTCAAATCCTTTCATGTGTTTTCAAGTATGATTAAGAGTCAGAGCAGCCTGGCATTAAAACCACCTTCCTGGACAATGTATAATACATTCTAACTAGTTTTCATACTAGTTTCTGCCAGTATTGTTTTTTTTTGCTTTTGGCAAAAAGTGTAAATTGCTGGGCTGCTGTTGCAAACAAATTGGTCTGCAGTGTGCAGAGAGGCACGGGCACCTTTCTTCAGGCGTGCATAGGAAAGTTACTTTTCAGTTTTCAAATGCTTCCTCTGCCATGACATCCTTAGAAGGCTACAAATCTAGCTTTCTTTTTCTTGTATATTTGCGATTTAAACCTGAGGCCCTTAACACTCCACTTTCAATGCACTTCACAAAGAAGCAACTCAAAACTGGAGCCTAACATGACTGAGTTGTCAAACATCTTGTCCATATTTCCTCTTGAGGACCACATCTGAGGTGATATATACCAAATTTAGAAAGCTCTAGACACTCAATTACCACAATCCTTTTTGATTGTCGGCTGTGTAAGCTGTAAAAAAGGAAAGCCTTCAACTAATTAAACTACCATGTAAGAGTTAAACAGTTAACAACTTTTTTACACTTGTTAAACTACCATAGAAAAAAATGGAGCAGAGAAATTGTATGAACAGAAAGCTCCCCATCAGGGATGGATTTGGTTTTCCTTTTTGTATTAGAAGAAGCAAAATTATAATCACGCATAAAGTGCTTTACTTTAGGGACCCTCACCCTCAGGGGCTAGAAATATTCCATAAGGTCCAAAAAAAAAAAAAAGTTCAACCATGAAGGGGCCAGAAGCCAGAAAGGTTCCCATGTGTCTCTGAGTATAAGGTTCCAAAGTCTTGCTAATAATTCAATCAATTTAGTCATTTATATCTGTAGCTGCATCTTATTCTTTTCCATTATCCAGCTATTTAATGTCTAGCTTTCAATTTTAAAGCAAAGGAATGTCGTCCAAAATTGACACGCTCCCGGTGAAACATTCATACCCATTATAATTGCATTCATACCCATTATAATTAGATTAGAACATAATTGGATGTGCAATCAAAATCTGCAACTACCTTATAAATACAGTGGACCATTTTGTTTCAAAACCCTGGACCAGTCTTTTTGGATGTGGAAAAATAGCATGCCCACTTGAAGAAGAGTCATTTTTAGCCGGTATGTTTAACCATTTCATTGCTAGATCTAATCCCAAATGAACAATAAGTATAGTTTTTGCAGAGAAAGTTTCTAACTTTATGTGTGTGTTGTTTGTTGGGCAGAGAGTAGATTTTAGTCTTAGAAACATTCCAATTGTCTTGTATGAGGTAAATAATAAGTTACAAAACACACAACACAATGGCATGAGAAGACACAGTAGAGAGGTAAGGAGACAAGCATGTGCAATTGTGCATGTCGATGAGGTGAAGATGTAATTCAAGATCAAGGCAGAGAAGGTTGTTGGGCCATAAATGCTCGAGAACACACACGCATGATAAATCTCAAACACACAACACAAGTGAAAGTCGAATTGGGTTGTGCTGAATTTGTAGCTGGAGGAAGCTTTCTGTGGTTAGAATATCAGATCAAGTATATGCTTCAAAATGGCGAACTCAACTATATTGTTAGGTAGGGCATATATACATGTATTATATTTCAAGTATCACACACACGTTGACGATAATGATTGGGAACCACTCAGAAATCGTGGCGAGGTAAGCGAATCATGCAAAGCTACCGTCAATCTTTGGAAAAACCCCATGATAATTCAACAATGATGTGTCGGTTCCGGAAAGAATATTGGTAAAAAAAGGTTCAAGTCCCTTTTGGATCCATAATATCACCAAGAATTTTCAACTAACAATCAAAATTTAAAAGGTTTGTTTGATGGTGAAAATTTTCTAGAGAGCGAGCTTATCACACAAAATTACCAGTTGATTAAGCTGATAATTCTAGTTTACCCGTAAACAAAATAACCATTTCCTTAGTAAATTATCGAGCTTTAAACAAAAAAACCCAGAGAGTTTATTAACAGAGATCGAATAATATGACACCACCAGAATGTTGATCATTACAGCATGAACAGGAATTGGAAAACAATTTAGTGAAAATGAGACTAAATGAGCAAGTAAGCCCCCATAACAATTGCTCCAATATCAGATGCTCAAACCAAATTGAAGCTGCTGTCAGATTTTATCTCGATAAATGAATTCTCAGTTCCACAACTAAGTTTTAAAACTCATTCGAAGAAGAAAACAAAAGAATAAGGCACAACAATATATATGTATATACAACAAACTATGCAAGCAGTGAGGTTCCCTAATACTGGTACAATCAATATAGATTCGTGTTTCCTCAAGCAAGAATCAATTCTCCTTGTCTACTTTCTTAGGCCGCACTTCAAATCCCCCACCTGCTCTCTTCTCTAATGAGTACGGCATATGGGTACCAAGTATCCTATCCCACATAACAAAGAACGGCTGGGAGAAGTTGTACTTGCTTCCATAGAGCTGGTGGTGGACATCATGGTAAGCAGTATTATTACTGAAAAATACATGGAACAGGTTCCCCGGAAGCCATAATCCACAATGGTCGTCTACGGTTTTGATGGTGGCAAAGGAGAAGAAGAATATGGAGGCTCGAGGAGACATGCCAGAGAGGAGAAAAGATAAGGCTCCACCAATTGTGTCAAGAAGAAGTCCCTCCACAGGGTGATTGTACAGAGCTCCAAATGCATAGGGCACAACAAGCCGGTGATGTTGGGAATGGATATGTTTGTATAAGAACTTGTTGTGATGCATGTATCTGTGCATAAAGTATTGCCAGGTATCCAAAACAATCATTGCAGTAACAAACTGTCTTGCTAGATCAATGAAAGAAGGCTTTACACCTGAATCCCCACCATCATTTCCCGTCACCTATACAATAACAAAGTACATTAAAAAGAAGTCATAAGACACATATGTCAAAACCATCAAGCATGCATGAGCATATCATAGATGATGCATCAGGTCTGAATTTTCTCAACCAATGTAACAATCAGAACACTCGAGTAGGGGGCTGGAAATGAAAAACAGCTGATGGCAGGGTGCAGCAAATGAAAACAAAATTGCCATGACATTATCCCCAAATCAATGAGACAATTACAGTAACGACTCGCCTTCATATATCAATTGGGGCTTAAATAAAATGAAAGTTCCCCTAAGACTTTCTGAACAAAGCTACATCAATGGTAGAATCAAAAGCAAGTGAAGAAAAAATGCAGAATCCATTGCAAATATTTTCCTTTTACTTTCTGAAGGTGAAGGTGGACACAGCTTGAGTACTTCTGGTTGACCTGTCCTCTAACTGACCTAAGCAGCCCAATTTTCTATAATAATGTAACAGTTTCCTCATATGGAAACAAAAAAAATGAAAGAAGCTCAGAATTGACGAGTAATAGCATATAACAAGAAGAGGATAAATTTAGGATCAGGATTACTAAAGGATTATAACGAGAAGAGGATAAATACAATGGACCACTAAAAGCTGAAACTTAGTTAATTAGATAAGTTATGGATTACCCAATAGCATATAACAAGAAGAGGATAAGAATTATGAAGATGATAATATATTAATCACACAACATCAAAAACCGCAGGAACTCCTGTAATCATCAAATTGCCAACCATTGTTCTAACCATTTATGAAAATTCAAGATGTTATGCAACTAGGCAGAAGGTTTAGTAGCCTGCATACTACAATTATCATACCATAGAAGTAACACACTGAATACACAAATTCATTTCACGGAGAAATTTATATGCAAAATCAACAGAATTTTGGCCCCAATTTTCTTCATCAGAATTCACTACCACAAACAGTAATAATTACCCACAAAACAACTAATCTTGCACAATTCATAAATCAATATGTTAGCTGAAGCTTAGAAGATTCTCGATCATTGACCAAATTTTAATCTTCATGTGAAATGAAAGAGAAAAAAAATGAAGTGATACCGTAAACAGGAGGATAGCAACAATAGCCTGAATGGTTTGCTGAAGAAGAACCCCTTTGACCACCGTTCTCTTGGACACCAAATTCTTCTCATCTTCGTCTTTCCTTGTGTGAAGCCGGTAGTTCTCAAACGAATCCAGAACCACATAAATCCCCGAGTATGCCCAATATATCAAAACTGGGACGAAAGTTCCCAATAGCTCATCAGAAACCTCAAATCCCATCTTTGAAAAAGGAAAAACGATGATCAAAAAGGGAACCCAAGAATCGAAATTTGCATGAGATAGGATGATTTTCCCCAAATAACCCAAAATCCTAAATAGGAGAAGAGAAACCTAACCCTAACTAAAATAGGCCTTTCCCACTATTATTGACGTTGGTTGGAATATAGAGTTTTAAAAATGAAATTTTGAGATAACATTTATCAATCGTTGAAGAAGAAGTGGGTCAAGTTTGGATTTTTAAAATGAGAGCAGGCTCGCTAGACTCGTTGAAATCAATGTTCGAGAGAGAGAGAGAGAGCCAGAAATATCAAATATTCAAACTCTCGTATCGTTTGTGGAGGTTTGTTTTGGTGTTTGTGATTTCACATTTGTGGACGTGAACTTGCTACGTGGCCCTTCTGCGGAAAGACCTGGCGTCGGTCCCCCTATTTCGTAGGAGTTTTTACGTCGTTAAGCAGCCAATTGGAAAGGTACGTGGCATGTTGTGTCCGCACGGGAATAAAACTGGGGACCTACTCTTTTTTTATTTCAGGGTTTGCCTTTCTGTGGGACGGACAAAAGAGGACACCGGGTTTGACTGGAAAATTACTGGAAGCTTTTTCTACCGTTTCAAAGCCGACAATTCGACCCGAAGCGTAAAAAGTCCAAAGTGCCCTACGCACGTGTCAATAAGAAGACTTGCACAATAGCCGGTGAGGACTATAATTTTTTATTATTTAAATTTCATCTTTTTTTGGGGGTATTTTCATAAAAGAACATTGCAAACAAGCAATTGAGATCCAGTTAATGAACTAATCAGCCCAGCCCAAAACACAGCACCTCATCATATATTCATGGCTGAAGTTTTGGTACTTGTGATACATTTCACTCAAAGTTTGCATATGATTTCTTTGGATATTGATAAGTTTGTTTTCACATGTCGTCCTATACAGCCTTCAAGTTCTGGGCATCGGGTACGTCCTTGAGAAAGTCTAGCCGAGTTTGTCTGGTGGGCTTGCAAAGAACTGAGAATAGGCAAACACACATGGTTAGGTTCTTCTATCTCAATGTGCATTTGGGCAGTGTGAAAAAGATAAAGTAATTGCCTTCAAAACCTTTTGCCTTGGTTTGGTTATTTGATGCAATGACAGTGGTTTTCCAACCCTCATAGGCGTGCTCTTCCATCTTTTTGTGCTTCTTGTAACTTGAAGGCTACAAGTGCATCAAACAGTTACAATGTTACATTTCACTATATCCAAATCTTTGAATTTATGTTTTGCCAACAAACGTAATGAGTTTCAAGGAACAAATAGAATCAGAATTAGCTTTTATTACCTCAGTTCCTTCATCAGATGAATAACCACCATCCTCAAGTTTTCTTTTCTCTGGCAAAACATCTAGAAGTTCTGCACGCAAACAATAAACATATACTTACATAACATAGGAAGTTGTCTGAAAAACCAAAATTCTAGGGGCTGAAAAAATCTAAAAAGTTCTGCTCCACGGCAAAGTTAAAACATAAAATCAGCAGCAGACACCAACCTCGGTTTCCCTTGACATCCTTGGGATCTTTCTTTTCCTTTTCAATCCCACAAATATCAAAGCACAAGTCCTTCATGGAAGTAGAAACCTGCGAAAGAAGTTGTCAAATAAGATAGAAATATATAATGAAAGATAGAAAGAAATTATGATTGGCAACAGGAGGGACTATTGCAGTAAGAAAGTTTGTATCTTACCGAAGAGAATTCAGATTCAGATGCACCACAGAGCTCAATCAACTTAAGTTTGTCTACCTTTAGCTGCAAACATACAGGATATGGCAATGTAATTAGTGAAAACTATAGGGATGGAAGCCTCTTTTTTTGGTCCCTGAATCAAGTGAGAGAGGGATCAATAATGGGATACCTTGTGTTTTTTGGCACACAAGTAGAATGCCACGGCAATGAAGACAGGTCGAGTGAAGTCAGCACTTGCCCGCCGAGACGCTGGCAGTGATGCAAGAAACCGACTCCTGTAACTGAAATATAAGAGTACAAGAAATTCATACTTGGAATCAAGCCATTTACCAAACAACATCCCTAACCACTAAAATATCAGGCAAAGAAATTTGTCTTGTCCAAAGGGTCTCTACTTATAATTGTTTAATCCTCTGGGACCAGACAGCATCCCTAATAACTAAATTATCCAAAGGCATGCTAAGCCAACAAAACTTGATGTTCAGAAGCATTTTGTCGAACATCTAACATGTAATATGACAGTCCCATGCAGAAAAACAAAAGAGATTGAATTTGCATTGTGGAAAGGAAATTGAATCTTACAGAGACAAACCCTTCTGCACAAAGGGGATGATCCTAACGCACCCAAACTGAATTGCCAGTTCTCTAACATCCAGCTTGTTCCTACACCACCACAACATACAATCCAATCGAACAATCAGAATCCACTAAAACAAAAATGGCATAAAAATTGGAACAAAGCAAATGAGAAAACGAAAACCCACTTGACCCCAAGACCGTTCTGCATGGAATTGTAGGATCTGGTGTAAGCCTTTTCAGACATCCCACTCAACCTTATCGCTTTTTGCCGATCGAACAGAAGCCCCGACCTATAAGCCATTCAACCCAAAAGAATTACAACCACAAAGACCCAATATGAATCTTAAAACGCACGCAAGAGACTATGCAAAAAGAAATTTTTTTGTTTTCGTTTACCTTGTTGCGGCGATTTCTAAGCAAATCACAGCTTTGCATACCTCACCCTGCAAATCATAAGCAACTTGATAAATACCCAATTCGAAAAATCAATCAAACAAGGATTTGGGGTTCGAATGAAACTTACGACGCCGATTATAGAAGAGTCAAACTGGATGTCACAGAGACGGCGGAGCTCGGCGGCTCTGCGGATGACGTGCTTGGAGTCGGAGAGGTCAAGCTTCCTTGCTATGTCTGAGAGATCCATCTTTCTTGAGATGGGCTCTCACAGTTTGTCAGGGTTTGGCGGAAAGAGAGAGAGCGAGTGAGAGAGGAGTGGGTCTGGCATTGGCGTTGCCATTTGAGCACTTGATTGAAATGGCGGGAGATGAAATCGGTGGTTTTCGCGCTTAAAAGATTACACTGGATTTCCCGGGTAGTTTTTGGCGCCGCTGCGAAATTAAAGATCACGTGCCCGCTGATTTTGTAAATTGCTAAACGCGATTTCCCGGCTAGGGGTACATTAATATTCGTAAATTTTGTATAAAATGATATTCTGTGGGGTGATCCATAAATAGCAATTTCATTTTAGAGTATAGTTTATATATATATA